CCCATCAATTAGCTGTATTAGCGCATGCACAGCTCGCGGAAGGTTTTGCACATTCATTTGGATGTTGGCTTGTTCACTTGCTTTCACGTCACAGAAGACCACAACCTTTTATTGATCTGGTAGGATTCTTTTAGTTCTACTTCACTGGAATAATTCTTTGATATTTCAGACACACCTCATACATAGCTACCTACCAACATGCAGGGATATTTTTCCTTGAGCGTTTCATTTATTTTCCTTGTTTATGATCTATTTTCCTTGATTATATACTTTACAAAAACTGGTACAAGAAATGATGGGACACAGCGCACACAAAGTATTAGGAATGGAGTTAGTGTATTAGAAATGGAGTTATTGATGAAGGCTTCGCTCTGTAGCGCGCACGATAATTATACGTTCGACGCGCGGCGGGCGGGCAGTCCAAACGCGCGCGCGCGTCCGGTCTGTGCGCGCAGAACTTTCCGGGATTTATGAAAATGTTCCGGGATACCGGGATGCAACCCAATTTTCCGGTATATTCCCGGAAAATCCGGGATGGTTGGTAGGTATGCTCATATGAAGAAAACTTCCATAGCTGCAACAAGTATATTATACAACCTTCTATCAAGCTGGTAGGATTCTTTTAGTTCTACTTCACTGGAATAATTCTTTGATATTTCAGACACACCTCATATGAAGAAAACTTCCATAGCCGCAACAGTTTCCTTTGGAGGTATTATTTTTAATGATTGGAGGGTATAACTCAAAAGCAAAGCAAAAAGTGACTTAATTTCTACCTTGCACTACGTAATCACTCAATAAATGCTAATATAATATTTTTATTTGCTTAAAATTGAATATCATGACGAAGGTGACTATAATGTAAGAAATTTGTTTCTTACAACTGTTTCAGCTAAAGTTACAAGTATACATATGCTTCACATCAGAGGTAGGAATGTAGAAAATTTGAGCTGTACCTAGCTATATACGTTTCTCTAGTTGGAAGTCCCAATTCTCGATAACTAGTCGGTGATAAATTGGTTTCTAGAAGCAATGAAAAGCACTTGAAAGTGCATAACCCTCGCCACTGTTAATTATGGAGGTTCAATAGTAGAGACTGCTCTTCCTTTAATTAATTAAGCCATCACTCATTTTGTGAACATTATCCTGTATTGAACTTTATTCCAATCATCCTTGTCCGCATTATTCTGGAAATGCGTTTTCAATACTAGTTACTACTACAGCAAAGTGAAAAGCACTTGACAGTACATAACCCTCAGTCACCACTTTATTCTTTATTTCAACAGCCAATGGCTACTAGCTACCTAGCTACACTATCTCAGTGACTCCTTCACTGAACAGATTCGCTTCCTGGCTCTCACTTCACTGGCAATCTCGCTCCTACTCAACTGTCTTTATCTCTATTTGACGCACACTCACCTCGGCAGCCCTACGTTTCGCCTGCTTCCCCAGCCTTCTCCGCTCCAGAATCTTATTTTACCATGCATGCCTCCTACTTGATAATATGTCCACGTTTCACGCTCAGAGTTGCCGTGGTTACCGAGAAAAACGGTGGACAGACGGACGGCGAGGGTTAATGAGTGGTTTATGCCACATTCGCAATGCGAAACATGAAAGTCACAAGCGAAAACCGAAAACAAAGTGTAGCTACTGCGATAGCATGTATAGGGTAAACATGGTAAAATTTCCGCCTTTTTTCCTCATAAACTTAAGGAGCAGCACTGTCAACAGTCTCATACACTGGGACTGGAGCTGGTGTTTGAGTCTTGTGTGAGTATCCCTCATTTGACAGTATCCTCATCTCATACAGTGGGTTGTTCTCCATGTTGTAGTCTGGCTCCAGTCTATCACCAGCTGAGCCTCGAACATGGACACCATAAGCAGAGTTCTCCACCACATCACACTTCTCCTGCTGTCTGTTTTTATTAGTACTACCTATGAATTTAACATAATATAATCAACACTTCAACAATGAGGCAACTTACGTGTCCTTTTAAGCAAAACAATGAGTACAACAGATATTGTGATGACAAGAAGTGTCCCAGCAGCTGATACAGGTACCACAATCACAAGAACTGAGGAACCACCATCACCAACTGGTCTTGGTGTCATACTGGATGTACTATCCTCCACTGAATCTATTCAGTATGGTTCTAGGTTAAAGCATAATTCATCAAATATCTTCACCTTGATGATACTGTATCTCAAGTTGTAAGGGATCATTGTATCCTGCACAGTTGTGGGCTGAGATGTTCACTGACAGTGTGGTATTGTACATGATGTCAAAACTGTAAGTGGGGCCTGGAGTTTCAAACTGTGTGCCGTTGTCCACTTGAATAGTGTAGTGATCAATTGGAACTCCTCCTCCATCAAACATATCTTCTAGTTTTAGTACCGCTGTGTTATTCTCTCGGCATATGATCACTGAGGTGTTTTTCCAGCGAGGGAGATCTGAAGAAGTGAATAATAGCTATCGCAGTTACCTGTAAATCATTACCTGCAAAGTCATCAAATGCATTTCCTAGCTTTAGTACTGCTATGTTATTGTGTGGGCATAATAATTATTACTAAAGTATATTTCCAGCGAGGTAGATCTAAAAAAGCGTAGTTATAGCTATCAAAGTTACTAATCTTTGGATCATTACCTGCAAAGTAGAGGGTGGAAGAGGAAACCAGTGGGTATCCCCCTCTATAGGTCACACATGTGATGTTTGTTTCATTCTCTATGCCACTAGTGATGACAGTGAGAATAGTTGTCACACTGATAAACTCGTACGTCTCAATATCCACACTGAAATTGGTAGCTTGTGTGTAGAAACTGTCATATTTCTTCATGGATTCATTACTGGTAAATCCTGGTACATACGGGATTCCTCGGTTTCTGTTTTCAGCAAACCATGTCATTGAGGTTACATTACTGTCATGACAAGTGTAAGTGACGTTGACATTGGGACAGAAATAACCAGTTGGTGGCACCAGAGTTGGCTGTCCACTGATACTACCTGATAAGAAAACAGCAATAAAATTTTTAACTAGCTAGCCGCCCGGATGGATCATGATCGAGCCGGACCTCGTCTAGGGCTAGGGTTAGGGCATCGATAGACTGAAAACAGCATTAAAATTTGTAACTGTCCTATTTGGAGAGGCTAATGCTTTAAGGTACTCAATAGGTCCCATACACAAAACAGCGACAGCGCTTGAATATTTTAGTTTTAGTCACTCAACTTTTCGCAAAAGTTCACTGAAGAGGAGACGAAACAATGCTATCATCTCTGCACCAGTTTCAAACCCTCCGGCACTAGCATGGCTACAACCCATTAGACCCACGTTCCCGAAAGCTAGTTTGCTCAATAAATAAAACGGGAAATGCCTGCGGGTTCAGTAACACGCAAGAACCAAAGTCAAAGATGTATTCCAAGATCAAAAGCCAAAGCGATATAGCTAATGCCATTAGTCGACGCGTGGGAAGCGTGATCAACTAACAGCGCGACCGGGATCTCGCATTAGCTATTCGGGCTCGTATTTCTCCCCACACAAAATAACGTAGAAAGAGCGATCAGCGCTGGCATGGTAGCCAATCACTCACCTTTTGGCAAAAGTTCACTTAGGAGAAGAATAAATGATATTACCATCCATCTAAACAGTACCATATTTTATTAGAGTAGCTAAACTCCCTGGCACCACTATGGAACGGATACCACCACTGCTTTCGCTTTCGACACGCCTCGCGGAGCCACGCCTTTTACCGCGCGCGCGGATTGTGGCTCCGCGAGGCTTAATCGTGCACGTGCCGAGGTGACTGCGGCTTGCCGCGTATTACCCAATGCGCAAAGCTGTGTAGAACAGGCCATAGCCAAAGGGATCTTGCTGCGTGTCATCATTAGGTGTTCCTAGGGCAGTCACACTCCAGGTCCGGAATCCAATTACTTGTTACTCTTGCATGAATTATGGGTAATAAGTCGGTGTAGATAAAAACAATTGACATTACAATCTTGTATCATAATGGCCTTGTGTTGTCACGGTTGCACGTCGCTGGATACGTTCTATTGCCAAGATGTCTTTGATGAAATGGGGCCTCCAGGTCTGTAGATCTGTGAGGCATAGGTGAGCTGAGAACGAAGTAGCATGATGTTCAGGTACAGTAAGATATGCAATCATGAGGACAAAGAGCGCCGGATAAGGCCTAAAATCTCAATGGTCAGAGGTTAGAAAAAAAAGGTGACTCAGACACTGACAAGTGGCTGATAAGGTGTTAATAATTCATTGTTAGTGAGAAGTAAGTCAAGCATGTTGCCATCAACAAGTTATGAGCTGAGATAGGTTACACTCAAACATAAAGTCACAAAAGAGGTTATGCCACATAAGTAGCTTGTATACTCCCGCTGTCGCTGTGTAGTATGAGTTTGCCCCTCAATTATTAGCGTAAAAATCATGCCACATAAAGTTGTCCGCTCTCTGAATTGTCAGCCTATTTTGAAATCACATATATAAAATTATGCCACATATACTACTTGTCCACTCTCTGTTGCTGTGTTCTATAATTATGCCCTCTGTAGAATAGAGTAGCGTAAAATTATGCCATAAGTGACTCTGGGCATAGCAACACCATTCAAACTACACCTTTAGCAACGTATGAACAGAGTTTGGTTGCTAATATCCCTTTAGTAATCTAATATGCACTTGCCTTTGGGTTGACACGTTTCTTTCATCTACACTCGGCTGTCAGGTTTTTTTTGCAAAATGCAGCAGTTTTTGCAAAAGAAAAAGACAAGAAAAAACTTTGCTACACTGTCAACAGTTGTATACAAAGGAACTGGACCTCGTATTTTTGTGTGTCTTGCATGAGTGTACTCTTTGTGATGACATTGCCGTATTTTTTCATGACGTGGGTGACTGTATGCTTCTTCTAATGACATGGAATGAGTTACTGTAGACACCATTTTCTTTTCGCAAAGATCTGTATATACAGCAACATAGATGCAGTATCGCCGCCCGCTTATCTGTTTACTCTTGGCCCGCCCTGCCTGGCACAATGTTTTTACTAGATGTTTTCAATACACACGTTGTGTACAAATGTATGAATGAGGAAACAGGTTATAGAGGCTTTGCACTGTCAACAGTCTCGTACACAGGGACTGGAGCTGGTGTCTGTGTCTTGTGTGAGTGTCCTTCATTTGACAGTATCCTCATCTCATACAGTGGGTTGTTCTCCATGTTGTAGTCTGGCTCCAGTCTATCACCAGCTGAGCCTTCAACATGGACACCATAAGCAGAGTTCCCCACCACATCCCACTTCTCCTGCTGTCTGTTTTTATTAGTACTACCTATGAAAAATATACAATCAAAGTATGCTTGAAAGAGAAAACTTACTGTGCCTTTTAAGCAAAACAATGAGTACAACAGATATTGCGACGACAAGAAGTGTCCCAGCAGCTGATACAGGTACCACAATCACAACTGAGGAACCACCAGTGTCAGGCCTCAGGGTCATACTCGTAGTAGAAATAGTAGAAGGCATATCCTCTGTAAAAACAAATTGCAAAACAAAAAGTAGTTGGTGAATTAGATCAAATTTCACCTCGTTTACATTGTATCTCAAGTGGAAAGAGATCACTATATCCTGCACAGTTGTGGGCTGAGATGTTCACTGACAGTGTAGTACTGTACATGATGTCAAAACTGTAAGTGGGGCCTGGAGTTTCAAACTGTGTGCCGTTGTCCACTTGAATAATGTAGTGATCAATTGGAACTCCTCCTCCATCAAACATATCTCCCAGCTCAAGCACTGCTGTATTATTCTCTGGGCATATTATTATCAATAAGGTATTTTTCCAGCAGGGGAGATCTGTAAAAGAAGCATAGCAATAGCTATCACAGTCACCTTTTTCTCATTACCTGCAAAGTAGAGAATTGAAGAGGAAACCAGTGGGTATCCACCTCTATAGGTCACACATGTGATGTTTGTTCCATTCTCTATGCCACTAGTGATCACAGTCAGAATAGTTGTCACACTGATAAACTTCTCTGTCTCAATATCCACACTGAAACTTGTTGCTTGTGTGTAGAAACTGTCATATTTCTTCATGGATTCATTACTGGTAAATGCTGGTACATACGAGATTCCTCGGTTTCTGTTTTCAGCAAACCATGTCATTGAGGTTACATTACTGTCATGACAAGTGTAAGTGACGTTGACGTTGGGACAGAAATAACCAGTTGGTGGCACCAGACTTGGCTGTCCATGATTGCCTGGACAGTGAATAATTCCTAGGACATCCCATTAAGACACTAAGCCTAGCCAGCAACACTAAGCCTAGCCAGCAACACTAACCTGCCAATACTGCGTACAAGATATAGCTGCAGAAACCAGGAATGGCACGGATACGCGGCATCATGTAGAGATATGCGGGCCAGTAGCTAGTCTGCAGTCCAGACCTTCACGCGCACACGTAAACGCCCTCCCTTGCGCATGCGTTTACGCGTGCAGATATTGTGAAGGGTCTGGGCGCCAGACTACAGAGCAAGCGGACCCGGTCGAGGTAAGCCCGTAATAACTTCCATATTGGCTTGTTCACTTGCTTTTCACGCCATAACTTTTGAACGCAGTAGTTATACGAAAGTCGCCATAATTTAAAATCAAGGCAGTATAGCGCTGAACCTTTTGGGATCGCTCTTTCGTTGTCTCGTTTCACGTGGTTGCAGAAAACGTGGTAACAGACAAACTGACAGACAGACAGACAGACAGATAGGCAGACAAACTGACGGACCAAAGTAGACCGCAATCGTCGCTGCGCAAGCCCGCCGAGGGTTAATGAACTCGGCGAAAAGCGCATGCGCGTTACCACTTACTGGTGGTTTCCCGCTATACTGAGAGAGTCTGACACGATCAGTTGGTGGTTTTCTAGAATTGGCTTACCCATCACAATAGCTGAAAAATTTGGTGCAGTCATTAACGTACTACATATAATTATAGCTATAATTATACGTAAGTACGAAGCACGAAATTATAGTGCATAGCATAAAAATATAGTAATCACACTGCCTCTTGTTGACGGCGATATACGGCGCTAATCCGGATTAACAATGAACATAGCTTCCTATCTTTGTTTCGGGAAATTTATGTAGCCAACTATACACTGAATCCAGCGCTGCAAATATCACTCTTTTTGCGTCATTGCCAGGCCGCTTGCATTGCGCACGCGAACTGGTTAGCTTCGGCCTAGAAGAGGGATTCCCCCCTTCGCCCCCAAAGTTCTCGCCTGAGCCGTAAGCGTTGCTAATTCACCGCGGAGAGGACGGCTCCTTCATGTAACAATAGACCATGTGATGCCAAGAGAAAAAAGATGCGGAGCTCTGGACAGCTGTTTCGGGCTTGTTGGCCCTCATCATGCATAACCCCAGGAGTAGCTAACTTCTGCAATGGAGATTGTCTGCCTGCTAGTGTGGCTAACTGTCTCACGAGGTTAGGAATAATCATGATACTAGCATAATTAATCCTGTGTACTACAGTTAAAAGCCAGCCAACTCTGGAACCACCAACTGATCGTTACTGTCCAGATGTCAACGTCACATACACTTGTAACCACGACCAAGTTCATTTTATGTCATGGTTGGCCAAACCTTACATTTCAGGGATTGATAAATTAATTATTCACCTGGATTGATATATCCAAGTAACAACTCAATGGTGTTCATAGAGGGTGCCAACAGGCACTTTTTCAGCAAACTCTTTTTCAGCATACAGTATGTCGCAGAATAGTATCTAGTACCAGCTGTACTCGCTTGTGCACTTACAGTCATCACAATACACTCCATTGTCATCGCCTTACTGATAATCTACAGACATTGTAAGTCTTATGGTGTCCATGTTCAAGGCTCAGCTGGTGATAGACTGGAGCCAGACTACAACATGGAGAACAACCCACTGTATGAGATGAGGATACTCTCAAATGAGGGACACTCACACAAGACACAAACACCAGCTCCAGTCCGTGTGTACGAGACTGTTAATAATATTCTCCTTTTCTTTACATACTAGTGTCTTTGGCAAACAGTGTCATTTCTCAATACTTTAATGCTTTGAGTGATGCTCACACCTACAATATAGCTAGGAGAGGCTGCCACTGGTCTGCGCAATAATCGTTCAAGAGCTGTTTTAGCTAGAGTTACTCGTTTTCGTTCAGCATGCAGTGGGAAGACAAAAAATTCCCACTTCTGGGGTACCACTGCCTAGGTATACATTCTACATGTGTATGCACTGGCAGGATATGGGTGCTTGCCGGCTTCATTGCCGCGGCCCAATCCACTATGCCAGTTTTTTGAATTCGGGTTTTGGCTCGGTGCTGACCTTGACCAGCAGGAGTGGGGAGGGGCCTAGGCCCCAACCCACGAATGTCTGGGCATGGTCGGAATCGACGTTACGATCTATTACATAACATCATGTGATTTTTCACGGTCGTGGCAAATACTGCAATCTGATTCGGTGTCTCAAAAGCAAGACTGTCGAGTCAGCACAACCAAGAAAACGCTCAATAGTCACCAGACCCTTTTCCTCTCTTGAGGGCGGGGTCTGGGCATGACACTACTGCGAAAACGGGCTTTTCTGCACATGCACTCGACAATGATGAGTCAGCACAACCAAGAAAACGTTCAATGGTCACCATACCCTTTTTCTTCTCTTGAGGGCGGGGTCTGGGCACGAGAGTAGGTCAGCAGCACATACCAGTGGCGAAGCCTTGTGGGGATGAATCTCATTAGTTCAAAACCACAAGTGCTGCGCTCATATCAGCCTTTATAAACTCGTGATGCCAGAGAGAGTAGTTGCGGCATGCTCTGCTGATGAGGGCCAAGAGGCCCTGTGTGAGGTATTTCCGCTTCCCTGACTTGGCTCAAGGACAATTAGCTATGGGTAAGCTTCTACAAAAATGCATTGACAAGAGCAACAGCAACGTTTGCTAGTGACTCAAAAAACTGTCCATGGCCATGTCTCGGACAGTGAAATGCTGGGTGAGGCCTCGACACCCGGTGGTCTTGGGTAAGGTGTTGCCCTTAGTGTGGCTGAGAGTCCAACACATGTGCGGATCTATGGGAGCACTACACAAAACCTGCAAAGGCCCTGCAAGGTAGCCCTAGCCCTCAAGAATTAGCTAGAACCAGGGAAACAGGCTTTTTACAGTTGCTGCCAGAATTAGGCAGGAGTGTAGGGTCGAATACAAGCACCTTAAACTCACAATTCTGACTTCCAAACTTCAAAATGTTATAGCTTCCAAACATCGTAACTTCGAAATTTTGAGGCTTCCAAACTAAATAGCTTCATAATGTTAAAGGTTCCACTTATAACTTCAAAATGATGCAACTTCCAAACCAGCTAGCTAATGGACTTCCAAACTCTTCAAAACATTAACATGCCAAATTAGTTAATATGCATTCTCCTTTTTCCTCAGAGGATGACTAAGAGAAAGATGCTATTTATATATTCAGGAACTGGTTGCTACATGCCTGCAACGAAAAGGCCAACATGCTAGTGCCATTCAAGTTCTCAACAGCCTTTGAAGCTCCCAGAATCATCCTATAGTTCACAATTATGCACACTCTTATGTTCATTTCTTGTATTTTAGCTACCCTCAGAAAAGTTATCAAGTTCAGTTATATTTGGAACAAAATATAGGTTCTGATGGCATGTTTTTTCACTAGTCATGATAAACTGCGCAGCTTTTAGATACTCCAAAGAGCCCGGTTTCCCAAGTAGCTAGATCAAAATAGTCCTATGCGATTATCCCTTGAGAAAAAATACTTCCGAATGTGCTCCTAAAGTCTGTCTTTTGTGGCTGCGACATTATCCGTTCATGTTATAGCCCGACGCGCGGACTTATGGAACGCCAAACGTAACAAAAATCGTCGACTCTATTCGGTACCGAACAACGGTATTTGGTGCCCAAATTAGTTAGTCCCATATGGACCGGCAAACGTTTTAGTCTCGTGCATGCCTAGACCCCGCCCCCTCATTCCGCGCGCGCTAGTCTCGTGCCCGCCCAGGCGACCCCGCCCTCTAAACCCTGCATGCAGTGTAGCTATTGAGCACAATTTTTGGAAACCAATAGCACAACTTGGAAGTGGTACAATTTGGTAGTAATACAATTTGGAAGTGGTACAATTTGGAAGTGAGAAGTAGCACAATTTGGAAGTGCGCACGGCCCCAATGGGCTTCCGTAAATCGTTTAGTCTTTCCGTATTTAGAGAACGATTTCTTTCCAAAAATAGAGTAAGAGATCGACTTAGAGATCGATTTTTGACAGGCAGAGTGCCCTTACTTTTGGCGGAAACGACGTTCCGTAATTGCGTCTGTGCGCTGGCGTGACGACTGCTATTAGCGTGACGACGTGACTGAGCTTTCAGACGACTATCTTGGTAGGTAGCTAAGTCCGCTTCGTCTGCCAAAAGACAAAAGGCAAATATTCGCTCTTCTATAAGGAATAGGCTCTGGTAAGAGAAATTGAGCTAATGCGGCAGATAACTCTTCTCTTGATTGGACTCTTGATACAAGGATGGATACTTGAAATTGCTCTTTCAGCCAACTACACAAGGCAAATATGTACTGGAGAGCCAGCTCTACAACCACTGTCATTTCATTCCTGTCCCAATGAATCTGCAACATTCACATGTAGCGACAGCAAGGTGTCATTCCTTACATGGAAGGTGGAACATTATACACCGAGTGATGGTCATCTGTCTTATGCTGCTAAACTATTAAAGGCGGACACAGAACTGCTTACATTGAATAGTACCGACAATGTATTCCACTCAACTCTAGTGTTCGATCAAATTGATGAGAATTTTGCAAACATGACATCAACTCTAACAGTGTCAACGTCTGGCGTGAGAAACGGGACAAATGTCACTTGTACCACTTTAGTTGGGATTGATGAGTGCAACATGATGGCTACCATCTATGTTACAGGTTGGTGAGCAGAACCAGAAGTAGGCTTTGGGTAATCTTGTGATGCATTATTCATCTTTTTCAGATGTGCCTAAATCTATTAAAGCAGAAGGTGTTGTAAACCAAGAGAAGGAGACGTACTTCATGGCTGTACTTGAGCTAGGAGATATGTTTGATGGAGGAGGAGTTCCAATTATTCACTACATTATTCAAGTGGACAACGGCACACAGTTGGAAACTCCAGGCCCCACTTACAGTTTTGACATCATGTACAATACTACACTGTCAGTGAACATCTCAGCCCACAACTGTGCAGGATACAGTGATCCCTTTCCACTTGAGATACAGTATGATCAAGGTTTGGTGTAGCTAGCTAGCTATGTGATTCTTGGCTCATTATTAAACTTTACAAGTTGTATTCACAGATAATAATGAAGAGGTGACACCTACCCATCACGGCCGAAATGGTGACCTTTGCTGTTCAATGTCAGAGCTAGCAGGTCTTTTTGGAATTTGGGTCTTCCTCCTGATTGTAACAACACTGGTGACAGCGTTGTCTTTATACCTTATTCGAAAACACAGTTAGTCGATGAGACTATTGATTCAAACCTTGTCTGTAATGATGTATTAAAAAGAAATCTAACCATTTCTTAAATTCGTAGGTGCTACTAAAAACAGACAGCTGCAGGAAAAGTGTGATGTGGTGGAGAACTCTGCTTATGGTGTCCATGTTCAAGGCTCAGCTGGTGATAGACTGGAGCCAGACTACAACATGGAGAACAACCCACTGTATGAGATGAGGATACTGTCAAATGAGGGACACTCACACAAGACACAAACACCAGCTCCAGTCCCTGTGTATGAGACTGTTGACATTGTGGCTGAAAAATAGACGGAAATGTTAGCATGTTTATTCTTTTAGGGGTACACACAAGCATAGAATGGTTGTTTTCGACTTTCGTGTTTTGACGAGCAATCCTAAAGTTGACTAGTTTACATGCGCGAGATGTTCACTGCTCAAAATGCAAACCCTCGGCGAACTGCGCAAGCGCGGTACCGCTAAATATGGGCGAGGGGCTATGAGGCGTTTACTTCTGAAAAAGGCTCGCGACAGTAGTAGATAGCATGCGTGAGTTGATACACGCCCTTTGTTGTGAATTCTTGTGCCTTCAAGATACACAGAGCGAGCGGACCCGGTCGGGGTAAGACTGTGCTGATTAGCATATTGGCTTTTTGACTTGGTTTTCACGCCATAACTCTCGAACGCAGCACTTTTGACGAAAGTTTAAAATGAAGCAAGTGTAGCGCTGAACTCGTTGGTGTCGTAATTTGGTCGGTCTGTTGCGCGGGTGGCGGAAAACGTGGTAACAGACAAACAGACGGACGGACGGACGGACGGACGGACGGACGGACGGACGCAAACCCTCAGCGAACTGCTGCGCAAGCGCGATACTGCTAATTGATGGGATGGGCCGTTGTATGCGTAGTGTGCGTTTACACGTGGTCTATTTAGATTTGGTTTTGTTATTTAGAGTACTGAATACTTGCTTGACTCGGCGACGACAACGGGTTCGGTCTCGTCACCTTCTCCTGAATTTGCTGCTGACTCAGCGGTGGCCATTTTCTGCGCAGATGTCATGTGTCTGAGCACTCCGTGAGCCAGCGCCAGCAAACATTACATATTAAAAGGAAAACGAGCACAATTCGCCGATGCCTACTTAGTGACAGGTCGGACTACGAAGACGTCAAAACCAGGCGTCTTAGCGAATAAGAGACCTTATTGCGCATTCAGCATCAAAGCATTCTTTACATACCATTTTCTAATTATGTACAATCGGTATATAGCGGTTTACGCTTGCCTGGTTTTGAGCAAGTACCGCTCGACGCACAGGTCTTTGGCCCGAATTTCTGTGTGGAGATGCACCAACCTTCGCCCTTCAACCACAGCAAGTTAGTAGCCGCGTGTGTTATGGTTCAATTGCTGCACAGAATCTGGGTAGGTGCAGTGTTGTTGGTGCCATTTCAGCTTACTGATTATACATACAATGTTGGTACTTGAAAATGTAAACAGATTTTGTTTGCAGTAAATAGAGGTTTTGTGAGCATGATGCCAACATAAATGTCAAAAACTCCATTAAACTAGTCATTACCCCTCATCCTTTCTCTCTGGAGCTGTATGACAAAGAAAATAGAAACTTTATGCACTTTTATTGTGACTTGGCGTGGGCGAATAAAAGGAACCGCACACGCTTTATTTCCCGGTTTGTAGTGTGCATTCAATATGACCTCCTAGGCCAGCGTTTAGGGGTCTCACCTGCGGACTCAATTCTTCACCTCTTCCAGCGCTGCTCTGTCTCTCTCTGGCGTGTGAATGCCGCTCTTTGGCACCATCAATTCCCTAAAGGCCCCTTCTATTGACAGTATTAATTAAGTTTTTCTTTTTGTTTTGTTTTGTGTTTTTTGTCTGTTTTGTATTGCATTTTTTCCCTTTTATTTACTGTATTTTTCTCCCTATTCCTCATTTCCTTTTTGTTCAGTAATCCAAAAAAATCCCAATATTGAACGCTCACTAAAAACCACAGCTTAAAAATACACCCCTTCATTCAGCTATCTCTTCTACACTCTTGCTTTTGCCGGACTTTGCCCGGGTAATCATTATGTGCATGCTAGGCATTCAAAGCATTCAACAACCTTGGGCTGCAGTTGCTAACCCACCAGTCAAACAGCCCAGCGACCTATGAAACGAGTTTTTCTGAGCGAGAAAGAGCCACTATCACGATCTTGTTCGATTGCGGTAGCCTCGAGAACAGAACTCATTTGAGAAGCTATAGTGTTCACATGCACATGGGAAGTATGCTATACCATCACATTTTTCTCGCTGGAGGTCAACAACTGCTACAAAGTCCCAATAAAACACATGTCCGTCCTATTGTTCTATACATGACTTAATACGGGAACTTGGGGTGTGGTTGGGATACTCATACAGCATGAGGCGCACGTTCCCGTAAATTACGTATAGACTCTAAACGCACATTATCTTAGGGAATGTTTGGAAGATGGCTAGTGGCTCAATAAAAGTGGTAATAGCTAGGTGAACTGCGGCAGATAACTCTTCTCTGATGGACTCTTGCTTACAGGACTGATACTTCGAAATGCTCTTCTCAGCAACTACACAAGCGCAAATATGTACTGGAGAGCCAGCTCTACAACCACTGTCATTCTTCCGTCCAATGAATCTGCAACATTCACATGTAGCGACAGCACGGTGTCATTCCTTACAATGGAAGGTGGAACATTATACACCGAGTGATGGTCATCTGTTCTTATGCTGCGCTAAACTATAAAGGCGACACAGAACTGCTTACATGAATCAGTACCGACATGTATTCCACTCAACTCTTGTGTCGATCAATTGATGAGAATTTTGCCAACATGACATCAACTCTCTACAGTGTCAACGTTCTGTGGACGTGAGAAAGGGGACAAAGTCACTTGTACCACGTTAGTTTGATTGATGAGTGCAACATGAGGCCTACCACTCATGTTACGGTTAGTGAGCAGACCAGAGGTAGGCTTTGCGGTAATCTGTGCTGCATCATTCATCCTTTTCAGATGTTCCTAAATCTATTAAAGCAGAAGGTGTTGTAAACCAAGAGAAGGAGACGTACTTCATGGCTGTACTTGAGCTAGGAGATATGTTTGATGGAGGAGGAGTTCCAATTATTCACTACATTATTCAAGTGGACAACGGCACACAGTTGGAAACTCCAGGTCCCACTTACAGTTTTGACATCATGTACAATACTACACTGTCAGTGAACATCTCAGCCCACAACTGTGCAGGATACAGTGATCCCTTTCCACTTGAGATACAATATGATCAAGGTTTGGTGTAGCTAGATAGCTACCTGATTCTCTGCTCATTATTAAACTTTATTCACAGAAAATAACAAAGAGAATGTGACACCTACCCCTGACGGCTCTAATGGTGGCCTTCGCCATTCAGTGTTGGAGCTAGCAGGTCTTATTACAATTGGGGTCTTCCTCCTGATTGTAACAACACTGGTGATAGTGTCGTCTTTACACCTTATTCGAAAACACAGTTAGTTGATGAGAGTATTGATTCTAAACTTGTCTGTAATAATTTATTAACAGGGTCAAAAAGAAATCTCACCATTTCTACAAATATCAGGTAGCTGTATATACCTAAAACCTCTGGCTTTTAATAATGAATGATTCTGAATGGGTGAACAGTAGGGCTAATGCTAGGATTGACCTGCACAGCAATAATGGAACCCCAGCACCAACCCCAACACCTGTGGAATACTCCTATATCCCGGTACGAGAGTAGTTTACTGTCTATCTTAAGAGGGAGTTGCTGACTTGTTCTGCTGTTATGATCCCACAAGTTACAATTATTATCTAAACTTTATTTTTCCACAAGGCTAGGTTGTTTTTGGTACCATCCAGCAACCACACGTGATATTCCGTGGGCTACTATATATTCGCGTGGTAGAAAGACACTATTACAGCAATAGGTCTAAGTCTAAATCGTCATAAAAGGGGAGAGATTATATCATTTCTGTTACAATGAAAAGCACTAAAGTGCAAACTCTCGGCGGTAAACTAGCGAGTTGTAGCATCGCTGTATGCTGGGCCGTGTGTCATCGACGGAGCCAGTAACACGGGTCCCACCGTAACACAGGGTAGATAGTTGCATTAGCGGTTAGAGCAATAGCTCAGGTGTTTCAGAGGCTGTCATATTTGCTTTATTCAATCTATCTGCTCTGTGTTTCAATGCTCTCGCCAGACGTTGTATAGATGGGAAGGCAAGGCCGCAACCACAAACTGCTCGCCACCTGAACTATTATGCTACATTGCGAACATACCTTACTCAGCATGTTTATCGTTTATCCATAGGGAACAGAGATCAAAACTGAGTGGATCGTATATACAACCAACGTGGCTTAGCGCATGCTCCGGCAATTAATTGACATGACGCGTGCGCGCTATATAACCTGCAGGAGAGGGCGCGTGCGCGATCGACCGCGCGTTGGCTTTTTCGCTTGTTTTCACGCCATATCTCTGGAACGCAGTCGTTTCGGGGAAATCGCCACGTTAATATCAATCTTCTCGTCGTTCACAACCCGTTGGTGCCACTCATTGGCCGCCTCGTAGCCTGTAGTGCT